AATAATATCTCTCATAATATATAGTTTCAATTAGAATTAACTATATATTATAATGTATCAAAATACATATAATTACTTGAGCAATTTGAACATTTCAAAATTTTCCAAAGTATTGATCCTTTTTTTATCCGTTATGAGCTAGCAAAGAAACCTAATGGACCTACAAATCAGAAGCTCCAACAATGCGAGATTAATCGGTCAAACTCATTGACCGAGTTAATTAACATTCGTTAACTATGAGTCACTCCACTAAAGACTCGCAGCTGCACTCTTCTTACTGCATAATGTTTTCGTGTCCATAGATATACGACCATTAATGACAAGTCAATTTTTCATAAGTGCTCGTAACTCAAGCTGGGTCAAAATACCGTTTTACCCTTAAGTTACATCTTACTTCTTAAATACCACTGCTCCTCTAATGAACAGTTATGGTCCGACCAGTAACCGGAAGTCCCTCTCGGGCCAGTGAGAGGGTGAGATCCCTTGTTCAAGTCCTGGAGTCAACATTTAAGAGAACACCCATCTACTCCTTAAAGTCGGGGAGGAGTGAATTCCATTTTTTGAAGTTATGTTCCCAGCTTCTCACTCGGTCTCGTCCCCAAAATGGTAGGAATATTGAATCGGCGACTCGGGCCACTTTCACCCATACAGATCAAATGACGAGCCCTTACAGGCAGGAGTCCATAACTCACTTAGGATTGAGAATGAGTTGTCTGGTCATCCTATGAAACAGCAATCTGTTAGTCAACGACGTTACATCTAAAGATTAGCTATTTCGCGGTCTGGTCTTATACAAACTCATTGTATAGGATACCCCCACTCGCATGTCTCCACACGAACGACCTAGATTGAGTCGTCTGTAACATTTACAAAATGGACCGTATCCATAGTGTTGCTAGGATAAGGTACCCAACCTTATCCATATACTATAAACCCTTTAGGTTATTCATGAGACATTACCCACTCGTATATCAGAGGTATATCAAATATATACCTAATATATATATTGTCCTGGTTACATGATAATAACATTTGATGTTTAGTTTATTGAATTTTGGACAATGCAATCCTATGAATTCAACAACAAATTTATTGAATAAAACTTTATTGAATATACATTGGTTTTTATATAAATACAAACTACGAGTTTAGGGCAATACACCCAACACTTTGTACTTTAGATAAGACCAGTTATTGTTTTATGTCATAATGTGATGTTCTAGAAGTTTATAAAGGTTAGTTGCTGAAATTAAAAAGAGTTCTCAATAATGGGTTAAATGTTCTTCAATGAGGAACGACCATATGCTTTGTAAATACAGTCACTGATTCAAAGTATCATATTGATGTGTATTTTACTTCTTAACGATCCAGTGTTCATTCTAGTTCTCAACCTAGGGCCTACTTGAGATTTATTTTTATGATGGAATATTTTATTTGTTTGATAAATGTTCATTTTAGTTCTCAACCTTTGATAGGGCTTACTTGAGATTTATTTTTACGATTGAATATTTTATTTGTTTTTTCAATACGTGAACTATGTTTTTGCTACTGTTTGCTAATGTTAGTCTTTTACGTCTTCTTGGTGTCTTGGAGACATTATTTGCCTACATTTTGTTATTTTTCTGCTTTGATCTCAAGTTGTGAGGTCCCTCAATTTACTCCCAATATAAATAATTTTTGCACAAAAAAAAGGAAGAAAAGAAAAGAAAAAGTATATCTATGGATCAAAATTAGCTTCATTAACTATATTTGATGATTTGAAAACAATAGGTATTAGGTAGGGGTGTTAAAAAAACCCGATAACCCAACAAATCCGACAAATCAAACCCGTTGGAAAATTCCCAACTTGGTCGGGTCGGATTGGGTCTCGAGTTGACCCCTAAAATTTTTGGGTCGACCCGACCCGATAATGCTTTATTTTTTCTTTTATATATATATATATATATATATATGATTATTTATTGTAAATTATAATACCTTTAAAATTGTTATCTTTAATCTGAACCCTCCGTTGATTTTAATCTCAACCATTCATTTAACAAATTTTTTTTTCTTTTTTCTTTTTCCTCTTCTTCCGTCATTTGAATCTCTATCTAATCTCTTCATCTCTCCCCCCACTCAAGCTCTCTCC